TGCAGCGAGCGAGTGTGTGGCCTCTCAATCAAGTCCAGGTGGAAACCGTGAACCAGGGGACAAGGCAAGACAAGGACAAGTGGGAAAAAAGGAGACATGCCCAAGACCTGCCATTGCTGCAGTCGAGGCTACCCAGGCTTAAGCAATGGCCGCCAGGCCTGCTGGCCTCCTGTGGTCTCTCCAGTGTCTCCACTACCGCCAAGCTCCATTTTGGGGCGGCCACGGAAGGAGCCTGGGGGGCCCTGATTGGAGATCAACAACAGGATCCCAGAAGATTTAGCAGCCCAGTCTCTACTCGGTGCCTACCGTCCCTCCCTGGGAATGCCCATTGGTGGCTGGCCCTGCTAATTGTCCGTACCCCTGGATCTTCCCCAGCTTGGGTCTGGTCAGTCTGTTCTCACCGGTGAGAGTTTGCAGCAACCATGTCCTCCCCTCTTACCGTAAGGATTCCTTACAAGTACATGGGCAGGCCTGGCACAGAGTTGAAACGTGACTTTGTTAGTGTACAATCTAACCCCCCGTCCTCTTTTCTACTGTATGCCTTCCAGCGGGGGTATTCCTGACCATCCAAAGCCTGGTGTTGTATGTAGCCGTGGCACGTCATATGTCAACGCCTGCAAATGCCAGATATTCAGTCCTCCCGTCCGTCCCCATCTATCTTCTCTGCCAGGGACTTATGGCGCCGCAAACACAAATCTTCTTGTACAGAGACCTCCTCAGATCACTCCCGCCCCGTCTTGTGATTGAAACCGCTCCATCTGCTTCAACAAATACTGGTACAGCACAAGCATTGTTCCACTCTGTACACTCGTCCAGACAAGTCTAGGTCCCACCCCTCTAAACATACCGGCAATTCCTTCAGTTTGGTATATCAAGCGCAGACCTTCCGTCACAGAAGACGTGTCGAGTGTAGGAACGGAATGGGGCACTGTCCGAGGGCCCGAATGGATCAATCTTGTCTGCGTCTGCTTTTTGGCACATGCTTTCTGGCTGCCCTTGACCGCTTTCTCCAGATGCGACGTCTGGCTGTTCTTCGCGCCATCGGGGCTGATCTGAGTTTGAGTCCTAGTTTTCACAACATCGAGCGGACAGGTTATAACTCCCGCAGCACCACCGGCCGAGGCTGCGGTCAAAATTTCCAGACCCAGTCCGATGTCCTGAGTTCCCATGCAATTCTGCGCAAACCTTCGTTCCTGCTCATAAAACGCAAACTGCAGTGCCGAGAACGGCAGGTCCCTGACGATTGTGGCTTTGTATCCCGAATACAATGCTCCAAACCCTTCTGTTCTGGCTATCGTCCGAGCTGCATCCCACGTTGACTTGTAGTTATATCCGGAATTGAAGAAAGGGTTATTGTATCGACCTTGGAGCTGCAATCGAGTTTTCAACACTTCGGACGGAACATACACGATGGATGCGGCAAGGTCGGCAAGGAAACCTAGGTCGAGAGATAAGCACGTGCGCAACAAGGCAGTCGACGAAAAGGATCGTGCTCACCACTCGCGAGATATGATATGGATGGGTTGATCCCTCGGTCCAGCATATGTCGCTTGCAGTATTCATATGACCCGAAGAATATAACCGTGCCAGGGAATGACCCCAGCATAGCCGCCGTAAAGCCTCCATAGAGTCCTCTTCTTACTCCCTCTTGCCGGAATATCTTGACATAGGATTCAGACAACGTGGTGTATTTCGGTGGAAAATGAGGATCTCCTTGTTGTCTCGTCTTCACGGTGTCCAGAGAATGCATAAGAATATCACCGCTCGTGCCGCCTATTCCTCCGGCCAGCATCGACTGTCACTTTGCATTAGCAACCACAGCTTGCCTGCCTGGGTGGGGGAACATCAACATTTGGAACATACATGAATGTACGGGGGCCTCTTCAACTCCAGATCGACTTCCTCCTCCTCCAATCTCTCCACTGTGCGCGGCCGCTTATTCTGTCGTGCGCCATCGAGATCAAAGTCGGGTTCCGAGTAGCCATTTCGCTGCGCCTCAATAGCAGTGTTTCCGACAGAGCTGTCTGAAAAGAACCAATTCGATAGGCGTGAAGTTAGGCTCATGGAGGGCTCTGAAGCCCCTTGGTCACAGTCACAGCTGAAGGAAAGATTTTGTTGGAAGCCTGGTGAGAGATTAAGAAAGCGAGTGCTTCGCCGCAACAAGATCAGCGTAGGGCCTAGAGGAACCTTCCTCACCAAAAAGTTTGGCGTCTTGCATTCGGCCTTGCCGGGCCTTGGCGAGCCTTGCTCGGCCGATACAGACTGTGGTTCGTCCGATTTGGCAGCCTTGCGGAACAAACAACACATATCTGGAGTAATTGTTGGGATTGCGGAAGGAATGTCGAGATCCATCGATAATACCATCCAACATTTCGCTACCTTTATGTACTGTGTATTTACCTGCGATGACCGATGACATCGTCAGGATCGGAGGACTAAGGAGATCCTTCAGCCTTTTCCATCCAAGGCTGGCTCTCCACTCCTCATCATTATGACAAAAGGCATTCACTGTGTTGACCGAAGCTCAATTAGTAGCGTTGCAGGACAAAGACAAATGCAGGCGCAACTTTTGCCAAAGAAGTAAGGGAGAATAATTTTGTACACGCCGTTCCTGCGTCCGCCTCGCTAAAATCCAGCCAGACCCGACAAGCACTCTCACAACATCATCTCCAAGGGATTTTCCACCACCTTCTTCAATTCCCTAATCCATTCAGCCCCCACAGCACCGTCTACGACCTTATGGTCGAAACTGCCAGTGACAATGATTTGGTCATCCCATTCAGTAACAGTGCCTTCCTCAGTCTCAACCGGAACGGCAACCTTGCGAGTGGTGCCAACGGCGAGAATTGCGGCTTGGGGAGGGTTAATCACAGCTGTAAATCTTTCAACCGCGTGGTTCATGCCCATGTTGCTGATTGTGAATGTGCCGCCTTGATACTCTTCGGGCTTAAGTTTGCCATCTCTCGCCCGCTTTCCGAGGTCCTTGACCGAGTTTGAAATAGCAGAGAGGCCGATGCTGTCGGCATTCTTGACGATAGGGGTCATCAAGCCGACGGGGGTGGCGACAGCGACACTCACATCCACTGTGTTATGCTGACGGATGATCGCCTGACCGCCATCCTCTCTCCAGCTAGAGTTGACAGCGGGTACCTTCTTGCACGCAATTGCGCAGGCTTTGATCAGGAAATCGTTGACGGATAGTTTGTACTTGCCGTCAGATGCGGCATTGAGTGCCTCTCTCAGCTTGAGCAATTTTGTTACCGAGAGCGTGGTCGAGACAAAGTAGTGGGGGTTTTGGTTCATGGATTCACGGAGTCGTGTAGCAATAGTCTTGCGCATCGAGCTTGCTGGGATGTCCTCATAAGATGGACCAGCAGCGGCGCCAGGCGCAGCGCCCGCCGCAGGTTTATACTTCTCAATGTCGGCAAGGGTGATCCTTCCGCCTGGGCCAGTGCCTTTAACTGACTTGATAGCCACGCCTTTATCAAGAGCAAGCTTTTTGACAGCAGGACTGATGCTTGGCTCCCTGTCCAGCACAGATTGAAGTTTCTCGCCCGTGGTGTCAGCCTCAACAGCTGCCGGCGCGGGCTCCTTTCCAGCAGGCGGCGCTGTGCCTGAACCTGAATCCGACTTCTCAGTGGCTTCGGAGGTTTCTTCTACCGGCTTCTCTTGGGGAGGTGCCTTCTCACCGCCGGCATCCTCAAGGGTGAAGGATTCGAACGCCGAGACGTCTGTACCCTCGTCGACCATGACGGCGATCGGCTAATCCTGTGTCAGCAAAGTCCGAGTTGTGGTCACGCTGATCGCCTTACATTTCCGACTGCGACATCCTTTTCACCTGTTTCTTTGAGAATTTTGGCAAGAACCCCTTCCTCTTGAAACTCAAAATCCATTTGAGCTTTGTCTGTTTCAATCTCCACAAGGACGTCTCCAGGAGCCAACTTGTCGCCAACCTTCTTCTGCCATGCACCAATGTTACCGGCGGACATGGTGGGTGAGAGTGCAGGCATACTGATTACAGTATGAGGGGGAAATGCTGTCGGGCACTGTCAGTCATGTTCACGCTTCGCCGGAGAATCGCAGAATCGAGGCGCACATTTCGAGGCATAGTAGCGGCTAAGCACTGACAAGCAGGGGAAAGGTTGGGCCCTTTATACACGTGGGTTAGTACATGCATTGCGCTTCCTGTGGGATGTAATCTGTACACTGCAGGGTTTTGTAGTCTTTGCAAGACATTCTTGCTGACTCTTGAGCTCGCGGAGGATTGAAGCAGGATGCGTGACCCTGACCGGGACAACAGCGTTGAGGTCGCCATTGGGAAGGACCAGAAGCGGCGGAAAGGGGGAATACGTGCCGCAGTCTGGGAGGACTCGATGAGGTCAAAGGAGCGACAAGGAAGGAAAAAGAGACAGAAGGAAACCCTGACGGATGAAGTTCCCTTTGGCAATGAAGATTGCAGGATAGTATCAGGGATTGTTGGAGTGTTGGCGACAGCTAAGAAAATGGGTTGAGCACGAAGTCCAACTCCACTCCGGTTTCCGAAATGGCACTGGCAGGGAGAGACGAGGCGGGCGACAGCTTTTTTGGGGGGGCGGTTCTTGGGCTGGTGACGCTAGTGAGGCCCAACTATTGGAGCTCCGGAGAGCAAAAGCTCCAGCTTAAGCTCTTCACTTAGGCCTCAAGTGTTCGTCCGTTGTAACCACGTAAGCAGCGGCATTGGTCTCTATACCTAACCCCAGAACAGCCTGTCTGCAACCCCCCGGACGACCCTGGCGGTTTACGCTGCACCCTGACTCTCCGCAGCATTTACCAAATGTGAGCAGGCACTGATTATTCCTGGCAACGCGGAAAACGAACATCTGTACAGATCGACTTCGCGATCACCACTCCTGTTTACTGCGCCGACTGTATGATTGCAATGTGTCCGACGTTCCCTACCGATCTCCGGTGATCTTATATCCTCCATCTGCTCCATCATCCTCCTTTCCGCGCCCGGCCCAATGTCTGGCGTCGAGAGTGAGCCGCCGCAGATCGACTCCAACCCGGACCACAACTTACAATCAGAGCCCCTCTCGGAAGATGAGGCTGAGGCTAGCGAGCCCGAACATGAGGCGGCTTCTACCGACGACATTAGCCTTCATGACCCATCAAGTCACGGAGTAACAATAAAGGTCGAGGATGCGGATGCCGAAGATGGGCCTCCGGAGGAGGACACGGGCGAGGTCGTCTCTCAAGGTGATACCTCAGTGGTAATGGAGTCTCAGCAAGACTCTGGCAAGGGCGCTGGGGAAGAGGCTGTAGAGGTACCGCAAAACAATATAGTCGAGGATGCGTCAACGGAAGCTGGAGACGACAACTCAACAAGGGTTGAGGAGCGCCCAAAGCAGCATCAGGACGAACCAGAGTCCAGGGAGACAGCAGCTGCACCAGAGGGCCATCCAGAGATACTAGAGCGCAAGCCTACAATGACAACAACACGCCCTCTGCAGGTTAACTCTACGGTCTTCGTTGTGAGTGCTCTGGAAACGATCGGAGCAGCCAAGGAAGTCCGCAGAAATAAGGAGTTTGCAGATGCTGTTCAAGCTGCGTTGTCGAACATCAAGAATACGGAACAGGCCGTCAATCCAGAAATTATCTTCCGCCCGTTGCAAATGGCGACCAAATCGTTCACTATGCCTCTGCAGGTGACGGCGTTGGATTGTATTGGGAAGCTGATCAGCTATTCATATTTTGCGTTTCCAGCTGTCGCAACAAACCAAGCCGGTTCAGTGGACACCCCGCCTCTTATTGAAAGGGCGATTGAGGCGATTTGCGACTGCTTCGAAAATGAAGCTACTGCCGTGGAAATTCAGCAGCAGATTATCAAGTCTTTGCTTGCAGCAGTTCTGGATGACAAAATCGTCGTGCACGGCGCGGGTCTTTTGAAAGCAGTGCGCCAAATCTACAACATCTTTATATATTCCAAATCGAGTCAAAATCAACAGGTTGCCCAAGGGTCACTGCTCCAGATGATAGCAACGGTCTTTGAAAGAGTCAAAGTCAGACTGGATTTGAAGGAGGCACGTCTGAGAGAGTCCACGGAGGCGAAATCGGACGAAGGACTGACTGCAGACGCATCTATCCTAGGCCATGGATCCGTGAATGGCATGAACGGGCAGGTGGACACACCAGACCATGGGACTCCTCCCCAGCTCACAGAGGGGTTGGCTCCTGGCCAAGAAAAATTGACCCTGCAGAGCTTTGAAAACAACAAGAACTTGGACGATGCAATTGTCGCCGACAGTGCTCCAACTACAGTCACGCGTGTTAGACGGGAACGCAAAAATACTCGCACCAGTTCTGCGCCGGTATCTCGATCTAGCTTGCAAGAAGAACGCGACGAGGCGGAACTGTCCCCGGAGGACGAGGACGATGTCTACATCAAAGATGCCTTCTTAGTGTTCCGTTCACTATGCAAACTGAGCCAGAAAGTCTTGAGCTACGATCAGCAGCAGGACCTCCGGAGTCAAAACATGCGCTCCAAGCTGTTATCTCTTCATTTGATTTATCATGTCATCAACAATTACACCACGGTCTTCACATCCTCATTCTCGAATATTAAAAGTGGCAGCAACGCCGACCCGACACCGTTCTTGCAAGTTGCAAAACCTCACTTGTGCCTCAGCCTGTCTAGGAATGCCGCGAGTTCGGTTCCACGGGTCTATGAAGTGTGTTGCGAAATATTTTGGCTTTCACTGAAACACATGCGCGTCCTCCTGAAAAAGGAACTCGAAGTCTTCCTGAAAGAAGTTTATCTAGCTGTGTTGGAACGCCGGAACGCGCCACTTTTCCAGAAACAGATGTTCATGGACGTTTTGGAAAGGCTCTCGGGCGATCCTCGTGCTCTAGTAGAGATCTACCTCAATTACGACTGCGACCGGACTGCACTGGACAACATGTATCAAGAAATCATTGAGCATCTATCTCGGATCTGCAGCACACCCGTTACAGTTACCGCTGTTCAACAACACCAATACCAAGAACAACAGACAAAACCATCAACCCCTGTCTCTGAATGGCATTCACGGGGCGCGTTACTTCCTGGCCTTTCGACAGCAAGCCTGAGTCAGCATCCCCCACCCTTGCCGCCCATACCGGTTGAGTATGCTCTGAAACAGCAGTCATTGCGCTGTCTGGTCGAGATTCTTCACTCCCTTGATAATTGGTCCAGTCAAGGCACTCCAGAGCTAGTCAATGGATCTCGATATCCAGCATCGAGAGGGTCATATGAGGAATCTAGGGAGTCTTTAGACTACAGTGAAAAGCCACCTCCGTCGCCCCGTGTTGCAGGCCTAGGTAGCGAATCGGGCATCTCCACGCCAGTCGCAGAAGACGATCCAACTGAAGTCGAGAAAGTGAGAATGCGGAAGTTTGCCCTAAACGAGGCAATCCGACAATTCAATTTTAAACCGAAACGAGGAATCAAAGCTCTCTTGGCCGAAGGGTTTATACGCAGCGACAGCCCTCAGGATATCGCCAAATTCTTATATGCAAATGACAGACTGGACAAAGCTATGCTAGGAGAATACCTCGGTGAGGGCGATGAGAAGAATGTTGCCATCATGCATGCTTTTGTCGACATGATGGACTTTAGCAAAAGACGCTTTGTTGATGCCCTGAGGCAGTTCCTGCAAAGTTTTCGCCTCCCAGGAGAAGCCCAGAAGATCGACCGTTTCATGCTCAAGTTCGCTGAGCGATATCTCAGTGGCAACCCAAACGCATTTGCGAATGCCGACACTGCTTATGTACTCGCATATTCGGTCATCATGTTAAATACTGATCAACACAGTACAAAGCTGAAATGTGGTAGAATGACTGTAGAAGATTTCATCAAGAACAATAGGGGGATCAACGACGGTCAGGATTTGCCTGCTGAATATCTAAGCGGCATCTTCGAAGAAATTTCCAACAACGAAATTGTCCTCCACTCTGAGCGGGAGCATGCTGCTGAGTTGGGTATTGCTAGTGTTACGAGTGCAGGCTTTGCCTCAAGAGCGGGTCAAGCTCTAGCCAACGTCGGCAGAGACCTTCAGAAGGAGAAATACACCCAAGCCTCCGAAGAAATGGCAAACAAGACGGAACAGCTATATCGAAGTCTCATCAGGGCACAGAAACGTTCAGCAGTCCGAGAGGCATTATCCCGGTTCATTCCAGCAACCTCCATCAAGCATGTAGGGCCCATGTTCAACGTAACATGGATGTCGTTCCTTTCAGCCTTCTCCAGCCAGATGCAGGACGCACAAAACCTCGATCTTATCAAGCAGTGCCTAGATGGTCTAAGATTGGCCATCAGAATAGCCTGCAGGTTTGACTTGGAGACACCTAGAGTTGCGTTTGTCACGGCACTTGCCAAGTTCACGAACCTTGGTAATCTCAAAGAAATGATGGCCAAGAATTTGGAGGCGTTGAAAGTGCTTATCGAGGTTGCTCTGACAGAAGGCGATCTCTTGAAAAGCTCGTGGCGGGAGGTTTTGATGTGCATCAGTCAACTCGACAGATTGCAGCTCCTTTCAACTGGAATTGACGAAGGGGTGATTCCAGATGTTACAAGGGCCAACATTTCCACACCCTCGAGTGCCTCGAAGGACAGTATCAGAAGCCGTCGGTCGATGCAAGGTGCCAAACGACCGAGGCCAAGGTCCGCACACAGCTTTCGGCCAGAGGTAGCAGATGAGACAAAGTCTACAGATATGGTCCGAGGAGTAGACCGCATCTTTACCAATACCGCAAAGCTATCCTCCGAGGCGATTGTCGATTTCGTCCAGGCATTAAGCGACGTCAGTTGGCAAGAGATTCAATCCTCTGGGAATAGCGAATCGCCGCGCATGTACAGCCTGCAAAAGCTGGTGGAAATCAGCTATTACAACATGACAAGAGTCAGGATAGAATGGACCCGGATCTGGGAGGTCCTGGGGGAGCATTTCAACCAGGTTGGCTGCCACAACAACACAGCTGTGGTGTTCTTTGCTCTGGATTCGCTCCGCCAGCTCTCCATGAGGTTCATGGAAATCGAAGAGTTGCCGGGGTTCAAATTCCAAAAAGACTTCTTGAAGCCATTTGAACATGTGATGGCGAACAGCACCGTTGTTACTGTCAAGGACATGGTCTTGAGATGTCTGATTCAGATGATCCAAGCCCGTGGCGACAACATTAGATCGGGTTGGAAGACTATGTTCGGAGTGTTCTCGGTCGCTGCCAGAGAGCAGTATGAAGCAATTGTCAATATTGCCTTTGACTACACCAACCAAATCTACAACACCCGGTTTGGCGTTGTCATCTCACAAGGCTCATTTCCAGACCTCATTGTCTGTCTTACTGAGTTCTCTAAGAACCTTAAGTTCCAGAAGAAATCACTTCAGGCGATTGAGTTGCTCAAGTCAACAGTACCGAAGATGCTGAAGACTCCAGAATGCCCTCTTTCGAGGCGTCACGGCAAGATCTCCGAAGCCGAGGAATCTGGTGTAGTGGTAGGGGTCAAACAACCGACTTCACAGACCGAGGAGGAACAGTTTTGGTATCCGGTATTGATCGCTTACCAGGACGTGTTGATGACGGGAGAGGATCTTGAAGTTCGGTCTCGAGCTCTCACCTATCTCTTTGAAACTCTCATCAGATATGGCGGTGATTTCCCTAGCGAGTTCTGGGATGTTCTTTGGCGTCAGCTACTATACCCCATATTCGTCGTCTTGCAAAGCAAGTCGGAGATGTCGAAAGCCCCCAACCACGAGGAACTGTCAGTGTGGCTATCCACGACAATGATCCAAGCCCTGCGAAACATGATCACACTTTTCACACACTACTTCGACTCGTTGGAGCACATGCTTGACCGGTTCCTCGATCTGCTCACGTTGTGCATTTGTCAAGAGAATGACACCATTGCCCGAATAGGAAGCAACTGTCTCCAGCAACTAATCCTCCAGAACGTCACCAAATTCTCTCCCGAGCATTGGTCAAGAATTGTGACTGCATTCGTTGAGCTCTTCAACAGGACGACGGCTTACGAATTGTTCTCAGCTGCGGCAACAATGTCCGATGCTCGACCAACTCCTGGACATGATGGGTCCGAAGGCCTATCTATCTCTGGAACCACGATAGTCGAGACTCCAACAACAAATGGCGCACCCGCGTCCTTTCACGGCCCAACCCCTTCTTTGGAATCACAAACGAGCTCGGCCGCCCCTATCCCTGAAATCCCACCCACCCATAGCACTCAAGAATTGGAGGACTACCGCCCGCATTCAGACATGCAAGCACCTGCACCTGTTGTGACGGCTGCGCGACGCCGCTTCTTTAACAAAATCATCACCAACTGCGTTCTTCAGCTGCTCATGATCGAGACGGTCGCAGAACTCTTCTCCAACGACTCGGTCTACGCCCAAATCCCCTCCTCCGAGCTCCTACGCCTAATGGCACTCCTTAAGAAGTCCTACCAATTCGCCAAAAAGTTCAACGGTGACAAGGAGCTCCGCATGGCTCTTTGGAGACAAGGCTTCATGCGACAACCACCGAACTTGTTGAAGCAGGAATCCGGATCGGCGAATACGTATGTGAGCATCTTGCTCAGGATGTATCATGACGAAGGGGAAGAGCGGAGGTCAAGTCGCGATCAAACAGAAGGCGCTCTGATACCGTAAGTAACTATTATTATCTTTTTTTTTTTTCGGGAGTGGTCGCGAAGTTGCCGTTGCTAATTCCATTGCTTTCCCAGTCTGTGCGCCGACATCATCCGCTCCTTCATTCTGCTCGACGAAGAAACCCAACAACGGAATATCGTCGCTTGGAGGCCCGTCGTCATTGACGTTCTGGAGGGCTACACAAACTTCCCCAAGGAGAGCTTTGAGAAGCACCTCGACACATTTTACCCTCTTGCCGTGGGCCTGTTGGAAAAGGAAATCGGCTCCGATCTACGCAACGCGCTGTGGGGCATGTTCCGGCGCGTGGGCGAGGTCAAGTTTGGAATGCCTGAACTGGTGCTGATGAGAGGAAGGGACGGCAGCGTGAGTTCGACGAGGAATGGCAGCGTCGGTGGCGGCGCGCCGGCCAGTCCGAGCCAGTCGAGTCGCGGATTCGAGTTCTCACAAGGCGGTGGGAGGAGAGGGAGCCGGGTGAGTAGGACGGGGCCTGCATAGAGAGACGATGGAGGAGGAGGAGCAGACATTTATGCTATGCCTGCGTAGTCTTTCAGAGATGTTTTAGACTTGTGGTGAAGGCTGCATTCTTTGGCATTTTTTGTATGAACGGGAGCGTGCCAGATCAGATCAGATCTGACCTAACCTGGACCTGAATTGGCTTGAGGCCCCCTTGTATCAAATGAACGGAAAGGAAATGAAAGGTGGTGATTTCATTCTACATAGGGCCCCCCTCCGCGTGGCCAGCTGTGTGCGTATGTAGCCCAATGGACCGCAATCAATCAACCAAGGAACGAACTGCCTTGCCAACGGAGCTTCCGCCCCTCCTCACCGCCTCTCTCTCTCCCCCCGTCCGGCAGATTCCTCAATCCTCAGCGCTAGACAAGGGGCCGCTCACGATGCTACCACCGGGCCGGGACCGGGACCGGGGCTGGCGACGTGACTCTCCGCTTTAGCCAGCCGCAGAAACTCTCGAAGAGGACCGGGTCGTGGCCTTGGAGGTGGCGCATGTGGATATATACGTGCGTGTAGCCGTGCTCGTGAATGTCCATGTCCATGTCCATGTCGGTGTCAGTTTTGGGCTGGCACGTGCTGCTTGTTCTGGCGCTGCGGGTGGAAGGGGGATGGGGGTGTTGAGAAGGGCGATATAGAGGGGCGGAACCACCAGCAGCAGATCCAGGGGAGGGAGTGATGGAGATTCTCACGACGAGGTCGGGTTCGGGTTCGGGTTCGGGTTCTTCATCTGCCGAGCCGGTGTCGTGGTCGTTTTCATCTTCCATTTCAGCGTCTGCGTCTGTTTTTGTCTTCTCATTTCCGATCCGGTTCTCACGAGACTCATGTTCGTGCTCGTGTCCAGATTCACGTTCAGATTCGGCTCTTTTCCGCCTCCTCGCCTTGCGACTCCACACGTCTCCGTGCCTGGACATGAACATGCCGACTCCCCTAGCGCAATCGACCTTCCAGTGCACGCCTTCGCCGTCCAGGCTCTGGATCTGCGAGCAGACCTTGTCTAGCACGCTGCCTAGACCACCGCCGCCGCCGCCGCCGCAGCCACCGCCAGCAGGCAGCTCAGTCTCAAACTCCATCTCCGTGACGGCGGGTAAGAGCTTCCTCTCGACACCGCTCCCGCTGCCCACTGACCTCGCCACGTCGATGGCAGGTCTGTAGCCCATCCAGCTCCATGCGACACACCACCTCCTCGTCCTCTGCCCCTGGATGAACTCGGCCACGGTGTAGTTCCCGCTCCCGCTCTCGCGAAGACGCTCTACGACGGCGCCCACACTCGACAACTTGCCCAGCATGGCGCTGAACCACTGGATCTTCCTCTGGTTCGCGGGAAGGAGCGATTCGGCTATGATTTTGGAGACGAAACCGATTTCGCCGCCGGGGGTGATCATTTCAACCGCTGAGCCGGTGCAGCTTGAGTTTGGGGGACGGGACTTTTGATGAGCCGAGTCCAGGAGCGATTGCGTCGAAGGGTAGAACGGCGGGTTGGTGAGGAGGATGTCGATCCTGCTCCAAAGAAAGGAGGGGGCCGTCAGCAGCCTCAGACGACTAGTCAATTACTTACCTCTCTTCACGCTAGATGATGAGAAAAGGAAATGCTACAACAGACATCTGCCACGTACCGATCAAACTTCTGAAGCTGGCCCGTAGGGATCAACCGGTCTCCCTTGTCATCCGTATCGATCAATCTAATGCGTGCCTGCAGCTTATTGGCGAGGATATTTCTCTGTGCGTACTCACGGTTCTTCTCGTCGATCTCTGTTGCCAGGAAGCGCCATTGCGAGCGTTGCCGACAAGCAAGGAGTGGGTAGATTGCAGATGCCCCCGTGCCACTTTTTCATGACACGCAGGGGAAGAAGTTAGTCTCGAACAGAGACCATGGTGCATGCGATAGAGAGACAGATAGACAGACTGGGCGAGCCCATTGAACGTCATGGCGGGGGGCGAAGGCGGGACAGGGAAAGGGAAAGGGAAAAGGCAAAACAAAACATACATGTCCAGTCCAATCACCTGCCTCTCGGGATCGAATCCTTGATGGAAAGAGGGAGAGGTGCTGTCCAGCAGACTCTGGATGAAGAGAATATAGTTGAAACGGTTCGGGACCTATGAGGTTCCGGCCAACCGTCAACAACAAGGTCAACAGGGAGGGAGAGGTAGATAGATAGGTCCTATGCACGGAAGCTGCGAGACCCTTTCCTCCTGGAAAATGGGGGAGGAACACTGACGTACAGGCGGGCACAACCTGTCTTCGGGCAAGTCGATGCTGAGATCGAAGTCTCGATGGAGGAGGCATTTGGTTAATTGTCTGTGGTCCGTGGTTAGAGAGGAGGAGGAAGACGAGGAAGAGGACCCTAATGGAGAGCCTGATATGGCTCTAGTCGGTCAGGACATACCTGACGCTCTCTGGATCGGAGAAGTCGAGTTGGCGGTTGGGTTTCAGCCTTGACATCGACGATGTTAGCTCCTGGCATTCCCTGGTCATTGTTGATAGATTGGCAGATTGGCTGACGACAGAGACGGGGGCAGCGTAAATGACATCTCCTTGAGACGCGTCTTGCTCCGAGCTTGGATCTCACCTTTTGGCAAAGTCGGGATATTGCAATGCCAGAATTGTGAAATCCACATCGTTCTCGTAGATGTTATCGGGGGCTGGCATACTGTGTTGCGTGGGTGTATATGTCGGGCGGAATGCCTCTTGATGGCAGCGGACTGCTGTCAAACCATGCGAGTGGTCAAGAATGCTCGTGTGCTACGACTAATACACATAACATGATCAGAAGGTCCGCCTTGTGATCTGGGGCGGGTGGACGACATACGGGATTTTCTCGTGTGACCATTTTAGTGAAATTGAGACGAGCGGTTGATTCGCGTACATGTATCTGGCAGCCTTGCCAAGAGAGGGTACATAATAAATCGACGAGGCTACAAGGCTGAAGCCGCCTCTGACTTTGCTATGCAACAAGGGGGAGAAAGGGGATCGTCCCAAGGGTTGAATAGATTACAAAGTAATGAGATGTTATCAATGTCGTTTGCCCTTAAAACACAGGCACAGACCAATAAATGTCACCTCATCGTCAGTTCATCAATGCGCTTGCTTTTGCCCAATACTCAATTCTTACTATGCAAATCCTCACTCATCATCGAATGCGTGGTGCCTTCGCTGAAATGAAAATGATCTCAAGTAGTTTTCACTGTGTTCTATCGACTGTTCCCAGATAATACTTGGTAATGAAGAGAAACGGGGAAGGGGGAAATCCAGAAAATCTCAGCGAAGGACAACGGCTCGTTGGATTTCCTGCACCCCCGACATTGAAATCCGATAGTTCTTCCTCGTGGTTCTGCCCCACCGCATGACAGCAATGATCTCGTTACGTTCCAAGATGACGTGGACGGCGAGCCCTTCCCTTGTATCGAGCAGTTCGGGATTCAAGGGAAACCATATCCTCGACCGGTCAAACTCAGTCAGGATCTCCAGCTCGGGAAGGATAAAGCACTCGAGATGCGCGTCGGGATGGCTGCCAAAGGTATCTTTGATCAAGTCGTGGAGGCGGGTCTGGAGAGTCTGTAGCGCTTTGTGGTTGACTGGCCGTCTGATCACGGGACTGAGCTTTTCATAGAGGTCCTTCCATCCGTGATCTCGGGCAACATCGAGCGGAGTGCTATACTCGCTTGAAGTGTGCGTGTCTCGCACGGTTCTCGCAAGACCTGGTAGAGAGTCAATATCCCATATTAAACTGTGGCGACCTGTCACTTACGCCAAGCTCCCTCCTTCAAAAGAGACTCCGCTGCCGACTTGTCTCCATACCACGCGGCTTGGTGTAGGGGTCTGAATCCGCTGGTCAACTTGTTCATCTCAGTCGCCTTGTCTAGCCAGACAGTCAACATCATGCTCGAGTCCAGGACGCGTGAGTTTGAAAATTACAAATTGAAGTGCAGTTGATCCAATTCTGTTTGTAGTCCCTGCGAGCTCTGCCGAGCAAATCCATCACCCCGTTCCAGTTGCCAGCCCAAGCAAGGTCAGCCAGCAGGTGTCGGTCCCGAAAGTAGGGTATAGTGTAATCTTGGCCTGGCTTGCAACGGAACTGCCCATACCAAGCAATTCCCTCGGCCTTGTAAGGAGAATATATGCCGTTGTCATCGAATCGAGGAGTTTTTAACTGGTCCGAATTCAACGTCAACGACATGGACATGACTAATTCCAATATCTTTGAGACCTGTTCGGCACTTTGAGAAAGTTGGTGATGCTGTTCAAAAAGGTACTCGCTATAGGCCGTCAGTCGCCTTTGCCCAATCTGAACTAAAGAGACTGTAGCATACTTCACCAGTCGCTTCGATATCCACTCTGTCTGTTTCTGCAATTTTCTCACCTTGTCTTCGACAAGATCCTTCCTCCGGAGCCACCACCACCTGTCAGCCAGCTTCATCTTCTCTCCTTTCCCATCTCCATCCTTATTGTCCAGCTTCTTGCCAGACGTGAGGTCGTCCAGTTCTTTCAGAAGTTCTATACAGTCTGTTGAACTCACTTGTTTGTCGAGGATATCTTGCTGTTCTCGAGGTAGAGCCTTCTGGAAGATCGACAGCCGGTCTAGGAGCACCCGAAGCTTTTCGGTCTCGTTGATAACTCGGTTCAGACCCACTGGAGCGTCGTGCATTGTCTGGCCAGCTTCGACGAGCCGTTTCACTACGACATGCGTAAGCTCGAGCACAGAGATAACAGTCCCGGGGTCCATTATGGTTAGACTACGAGCTGGAGAGCGCAATAAGACGGTGCGTAGTATAAGAAGACTGATTTCGACGACGTGGTGTAATCGTTTGAATATGTATCTGCTAGCACAGTACCGTAAGTGCGGCGGCTAATGACACAGAACGAACGATTAATCCCCTGGTGTACGCTCCGCGGGGCAATGTGGGCTACATGGAAAGGTAATAACCGTCAAGAGGGTTATATGGTATTCCGTATCCAAGAGAGTAAGAGTGTCTGACAGCTACGGAAGATCCCTATCGAATATCCACGTCAAGAACGCCAAGGCGCCAAAGAATCACGTAGTAACATATCGAGGTATCTTAATGCCAACTTTGATGTCATTATGTGCTATTTGTCGACGAGAAATCGATAACGGTATGTATGGACAAGCTACAAAGATCCAGTCAGAACCAAAAATTGAAAGCACATATTGAATATAAAAAGAAAAAAAAAAACAAATTGTATCTGTCTCCGGACAAGGACATAAGCCTTCCAACCCGGTGCATGCACCAGACATGCACCAGCCAAATACTCATCGCCATGGGTATAGAGCCTATTCGACTGAACTCATGGAACTGAAATGCGAAGGTACAAGCCAACTGAAATCCCCGGCGCCGTCAATGGTCGACCAACAATAATCGTAACTCGTATCATCCCGTTTTCCCAAGGTTGAACCCCTTAACCCCAACCACTGTACAGGTGCAGACCCAACCCCTCATGGCACAGCGTATGCTCGACCAGTCCCGCGTTTCTTCCAAACAACCACCTCACCCCCGGGGGCCCTCTACCTCTTCAATACCGCTTCATACAAGCTCACAGCAGCTCCGAGGCCTGAACTGACCATGATTGTAAAATACCCGCCCGGAATGCTCTCGTTGACGGTCGCAATGGTAAAGTGATTGTAGAGCCCACCCAGAGTGTAGTGATAGGCGTAGACCAGGTACACGATCAATCCTTTGGCAAGACTAAAAATGAACGGATCAAATTGCATTTGCGCGTTTGCCTGGAGGGCGGCTTGGCGCGTCGAATAGCTGTGGCTAGGATGGGCCTTAAGCGGGAGGTTGATAAAGTACGAGATGGTGGCCGGCAGAATCAACGAGGTCAGCGTCCACAGCGAGAAGGGTGACCAGAACCTGGACTCCAACAACAGAAACAGGTCTGGAACCATGATTGGCGTCTTGGTCGACTTGATGTAGGGAATAGCGGGAATTTCAGTTAACAGCTTGTTCGGTAAGATCTGCGCGCGAAGACCATAGGCTTCTAGGAGTATGGCCAGCACGATGACAGTCATGGGCGAGGACAGAATATCGCGCGTGGCATCGGCATATTCATGAAGCTGAGTTTGCTCATAAGCATGAGAGATGGAAGTCCGAATGCGACGCGTTTGTTGATCAATGGCATCCGTGACAACGGCCGGCGAGGGCGGTATGGGAATCTGGGAAGCCAGAATCGAGGTGCGACGGGCCACCTCTTTGGCCGGGGTTTTGACGAGCGCATTGACGGCCGTTGGTGATTCCTCCCTGTTATGGACTGTCAGCACCAATACCAAAACAACACGGGTTGAGGCGCGATCCATACCCTTCTTGAGTGGTCGAGGTTGTCTTCCGTCGCGGCTTCTTGACAGGAGCGGGAGCATCGTCGTCCGACTTGACTTGTTCCGAGACTTTCTCAGCTGCGGTTCTCTTGGTCGGCGATCGCGAGCTGCTAGCCAAACGCTTGTAGTATTCGCTCAGAGAGGGGTCTTTGCTGTATGTGGTGGAATGGGTGCGCAAGTGTTCGTCGAGGGCGACCTCGAGCTCGGCCTTCTTCAAATGAGCATAGCTGCGGTCGCATACCAGTCAGCAAGGATGCGCCAGGCAATGCGACCCGGAAAAGCACGCGTCGGAAGCAACAACATGGAAAAGAACGTACCCGGGCAGCTTGCTGGCCTCGGCGAACTCGGTAAGATCGCTTTTGCGCAGTTTCTGGAGATATGGTAAACCTGACATGATGGCGCGAGGAGGCGCAATCTGGAACAAGAACGCGTATGGTTCGTCTGGGATTGAGTGATGCGATGGTGTGTATGAGATGTTCGAGAGGGAGGAATACGACGGGGAGATCAGACGAGGGATAGATTAGGGTGGTGGATGGTGTGAGGATTGCGATGATGAAGGAGGCTGGGGGATGGCGGACGGCGGATGGGGGGGATGCCAGCACAAACTGGGCGAAAATCCAAGTGGCTGGGGAGACGAGCCCGAGTGTAAACAACCAGCTCCCAATGCGGCTTTAGCTCGATTACCTCTCTAGCACCAGGCAATCATGACGTCGTTGGAGTGAGAGGAGCCTAGAGTGCCTACTGGGTATTGTCCTCCGGGCACCCTAAACGCCCCCCCCTCGCCAAAGGGCGCCTAAACGACTCGTGCTTAGGGATGCTTCTACTGTATTACTGTACCTCGACAGCCCACCAGCCCTAATATCTTTTCGGACCACCCAGTGACGCAGCCTCGCCTCTCTTCTCTCCAGCTCCTCAGCTGCTTATCACACAAAACTCTCGTCGCATTATGTACCTCCCCCTGCCCACCCCCGGTCTTTGAGCATATTATTACTCTTCCACCTACCTCGTAGCCTGGTGACCCTCTACCACTGCCAATACCAATGCCCAAGTCCCTCCATTCCTAGGGGCAATTACAAACAAAATGTACTCGGCAGGCCTCCAAGGTACTCGTAGCCACCTTGAGCCTCTCTCTTCGCCGCCAAGCATCGTGCCCCAAGTCAGCTGCCCATGTCGCCGCGTCGCCGCCAGTTCGCCATCCCCTTCATTTCCCTTGTTACCATAAACGCTATTGCACTGTGGCATGACAACCAGCAGTAATCGTTCCATCGTCCTCGTTCTCTAAGTAGTATCGTTCCTTCTCATTGCCGCCTCTTAAATC